CCGCAAGAAATTCATGTTGCCTGTCTACACTGCCCTCTTGCACAAGAGCTCTTGTGCAAGAGGGCAGTGTAGACAGGCAACATGAATTTCTTGCGGAAGAAAGCCCTATGGCTAAAATGACCATCAGAGCATTCTTGCGCAAGACAGCATCCACACTGCCATAGACGCTCTTGCGCAAAAGCACATCTCTTGCGCAAAAGCACATGTCAGTGTAGACGCGCTCTTGTGGAAGACTTTTTGCGCAAGAACTCTTCCGCAAAACAGTTCTTGCACAAGAAGGTGCCAGTGTAGACGTAGCCTTTGGGTTCAGGATCCTAACCGCCTGAAATGAAGCTGCATGGTATTACCCTGTAGCTACAATAGGAAGAAGATAGGGATTAGTTAACAGTGCAGTCCTGGTCCTTCATAAGTGCTACTGTAATGCAAATAATTAATAATGGTTTATTCCTCTTAAAAGTTAGGAGTGTATGAAAATCAAAGAATCAGAGTAGTGTGAACATTGATTAAGAGGGGAAGATATGAAAGAACTAATTTCTTTAGAGCATAAAAATAAGGGTTCATATTGTCATCCACCACATGTTGTTTTCAATGAGATGGTGGTTGTATTTTTACCCAGATCAATAGTTGTAGAAATATTTAAGAAGTAAATTCCAACCTCCACCAGGCAAGAGCGTCCACAGGTGTAAATCAACTGATTCAAGGCAGCTGTGTCATCTCAAGATCTTGCGCATGAAAAATGTAGGGTGGGAGATGGCATAACTGGGAATCTGTGCTTCTAAGTCTTGATAAGGATCACTGAGGTCTACGGGATTCTTTTTAGTCACTTCAGCGAGCATTGGATTAAATCCACAATGACTAAGTAGTGATCCCTGCTGAATTGTAGAGTTGGGCTAAAACACAGTCTAAATTATGTTAAATCTTACTGACTCATTCCCAAGAGTTTGTTGATGTGTTTGGACACCTCATTCCTAATTCATCTTGAAATGTGTTTTGCAGCGTAGTATTAGATTGTGGAGTGGTGGGTGGAAAAGGAATATTTTTAGCACACCAGACAATTGTGTAATATATAAAGAAGTAAAAAAGCACCTGTGGAAAAACAAGTACATGTCAGTGTCACATGGTCATCTTCACCGTAATTTGTAGGCAGCTTAAAGAATAACTTTTCAGATGATGAACTAGCAATTAGCCACCTAAATAATTTTTTTTTAAAATGAGTGGGCCTCAGGAGTACAGGTGATAGTAATTACAAAGGGAATATTGTTTTCACCTGGATTCTTATGTAATACATGCTTGTAAATTATTGGCTAGTCTAATACAAGATATCACTATATCTACCATGTCCACTAAAGCAATAAAGCAATTTAAGATAATTCTTCCTACCGATCATTTGGATGTGTAAAATGTGAACTAAACCAGTATACCTGACATTGACATTTGAAGTGATTAAACAGACTACACAAAGCAGACAAGCAATCTCTCCGCTTGTACTGAAAGATTGTATTTCCCCTCAACACTGTAGTACTGTTTGCTTTCCGTTAATGGAAACTAAATACAGACAAAATGGAATAGTCTCTAAAAGCAGGAAATAGAATGACTAAAAATACTTGTTCTCTTAACATCTAGTGTCAAAATAAACCCAGTGATTCTGGCTGTAGTTTGCTTCACTCTTTGTTACATGTACAGGAAAAAGGCTACTTCTAGACGGAAAAAATAGAGTTTGACGGCTGAGAGGGAGAGAGGGCTGGGTGCCTCAGGGGATTGGTAATGAGATATTTACAATTAGTCTTCTATATTTCAAGCTTTTTGGGACTGGGATTCTCTTTTTAACTGTCTCTTAAAAATCCAAGGTCATCGACACCTATCTGTCAACTTGAAGATCAGCATGATAACTCTCATGCTCAGTAACCTACTCCAATATACTATTGTGTGATGGAGTGTACCCAGGTGTTTGCTACCCCTGCCAAACGATCTGACACTTAGGTGTACTTCTCCATAAAAAAGATGTCTCACTAGAAGAGAAGAGTCATGAGTTTGGCTCTCCAGAGATTGCCTAGAGAGGCCTTCCATAATGAGCTCTAGGCAGAACAGTGAGAGTTGGTCCTCCCGTGCCTAAAAGGGCTGGGAGCAGACAGACTCCAATCAGAGTCCAGCAGGTCAGTTAAAAAGGGATGACTGTTTCTTTTAGGCCAGGGGCTAGTTTTGTGTGAAGCCAGAACCCTGTCCTAGCCTGGTCTAGACAGGGGCATAAGAAAAAGAGGACTAATGTTTATATTATGGCTACTCTGAGTTCATCAGTAATTTGCTTTTTTCTGAGCAGGCCTGAATGACTGTTATACTGCAGTACTGTTAACAATGGAAAATACTGGGGGTGTTGAGAAGGACTTGGCAGAAAAATCAGACATTTTTTGGCCCATGTTAAATTTAGGTTGGCAGAGAGGCATCCAGCAGGAAATGTGAGAGAGAAACAGGACTTGTTAGAAACAGCTGGGAGTGGAAAGGTAGATTTGTGATTTGGTGCTATAAAGATAGCCGTTGAAGCTATGTCGATAGAGATCACCCAAAGCAAAGTGTAGGCAGCAAGGGCGGAGTTTTGGGAGGGGGGGCAGTACCCGTGCATACCAGGATGAGACTTGCTTTTCTTCCTGTTCCCCAGACTATCAGGGAGCAAGGGGAAAGTAGTTGGACTCCCTGCATGCTTCTCACTCCTGGCTGGTGAAGGGAGGGGGAGGAGGAGTTAATCACGGAATGCAAGTACTTTCCCCTCATTCCCGGATAGTTCACGGAACGGGATGAAAAGCAAGCCACATCCCAGTACGCACGGCTGCTGCCTCACCTGAAACTCTGCCTTGGCAAGCAGCGAAGAGGAAGGGGCCAAGGACAGATGTCTGTGTCATCCCTTCAGAGAGTAGGTCAGACAAATGGGAGAGGATCCAACAAAACAGGTGTGGAAAGAATCACACGAGAGGTAGAAAGAGAACTATCCATGACAGTAGAATGAAAATAAAAGGATGTGGTTTTGAAGGAAGATGGATGTGAAGAGCAGCAAAGAGATCAGTGAGGATGAATGTAGAGTGGGATTTGTCAATGAAGTAACCATTAAACATCTTCATGAGAGCAATTTCAGGCATGTGTCAAGGCTGGATGCCTGACTGGAGAGCCTCCTGGATGGAACTGGAGGGAGGTATCTGACGCAATAGCTGCAGAGATCATGAAGCAAAAACTTTTCAATTGTCCTCCATCCCTCTATAAATCTACCGAGACTGAAACTAGTAAAATGAAGTTGCCAACTAGTGGTGCCATGTTAATGAATGTTTTTACTTGCATCGAGTAGTTTCCAATCAAGTTAGGAGCTCAGTTGTAAATAAAAAGTCCTTTGAATTGTTTTCAGCTTTGTTTTTGTGTGGGAAAATGTACAGGGGAGGTCTACATCAATTTGGTGTCTTCATCATTTGTTAGAAAATTTAGTTCTGTGTTTAGCTGATGACTTAATTAGAAAATCTCTAGTCAGCTGGCAATGAATGTTAAACCATTATTTAACAGGAAAATGTGGGTTATATTTCCATCTGTTTTACTGTTAATTATCTCTGAGTATTAAAATTAAATACAATCTTTAAACCTAACACTAATTGGTAATTTGAGTGGTAGTCGCTGAAGGGAAGAGTATGCAATGAAAAGAAATTAATATTGTACAGTGCTTGAATTTTACAGCTTTCCTATCCATTTCAGAAGGCTTCTGTATACATGCCATAGTTGCCTGTAAAGTGAAATTAGTACATTTTCTATTCTCTTAGCACTACTTCACTCATTAGACAAGTAGCAGTCCAGGTCACCTTTAAATCAAGAAATTACTGTTGTGTAAGAATCAAGGTCCTTCAAATTCTGGAGGTAGTAGTGGTAGGTTAGCCTCTTATGCTAACAGCCTATGTGATGCTCTGGGTTATTTCCTCCTCAATGAAACCACTTCAGTCTCTTTCCCCTCTTCTTCTTATGGCAGAGAGAGGTGCACATGTGCATGGAATTTAAAACAGGCTATATTTGCCCCCATGTTACAGTGTTGGAAAGGTTTCCTCTAGTAGTAATTTTAACTGGAGAAGAATGACTGTAAGCTGCCCACAACCACAGCCCAGCTGAGGAGGGAGTATGAAATCAGAAATCATTGCGGGACAAGCAATGCCCCCTCAAGGGGACTAAGTCCAAATCAGACAAGAAGGGAGTTCCAGCAGAGTAGCAATTGTTCCAAGTTCAAAGCAGTCAGAGATGCCACAATGGCATTAGTGCCCGAAATGTGCTAGCGATAGCCAACAATACTGCGGCAGTGGTTTTTATCTTCTCTGCTTATGGGTGGAGAACTTACTGTCCCTTTGAGCCCTGCATGTAAATGGGAAGCTGAGTGTCCAAGCAGACTAGATGAGCAAACAAGTGATAGAGAGTGTTGTCTGCATCCCAAGTATTTGAGCAGATTATTGGACATTTTGGTCTATTAGCAAGGACCTTTTTGCTTCGGGGAGCAGTACACAGGTTGTAGGAGGGAATCAGGAGGCATGTGACCTTACAGCCATGGCTCAGAAGATTGCTATATACATGTCTCCTGTTCCCCACAACATCTAAGGTGATTCAGAAAAGGAAAGAGAGATTTACCAGAGTAGCAGTTGTGTAAGGAAAGCAGAATGCGTTCTGAGCAGGTTTATTTGGAAATAAACCAAGCTAAAAATTGTGGTTATTTTCTTTCTCAATGAATGGTAGTTTTCTCTGTATTACAGATTTACAGTTCAGTTTGTACTCATTAGGTGCTATGATTAGCAGCTGATAAATATGTATTTTTTAAATTGTTTCTTAAATAAAATATTTTAAAATGAATGGTTTTTTAGGGTTTTTTTTTTCAAGAATTCTGTGGCTCAGTATAATAAAATTTATTTAAAACTATGTACCGTAATAACACAAGAGGTAGAAAACAGAAAAACAAGTTACAGGCCAAAGAGAAGTCAACCATAAAGACAAACACAAAAATCCACTTTACCAAGTAGAATGTTGCTAAACTCAGCTCATTTCACTCATTTTTAAGGCCAGGGAGTCACATCATATGTACCTTTGGGTGCTTTTAAGCATTTTCCCAACACCTAATAAGCTTTTTAAAGGCCAGCTTAAAATCTTCATTAAAACTAGTGTACAGCAGAGGATTGATAAGGGAATTGACATAACCAAGCCATGTAAAAAAGTCAGCAACTTCTGCAGATACGGTGCAAACGCTCAGGCCCACAATAAGCTCCTTAATAAAAAATGGCAACCAAGACAAAATGAAAGCCCCTAATATCAGTCCCAGGATGCGAGCAGCCTTTCGTTCCCGTGTACTGGAAATCTGCTGACGGTCACCGGCCAGCTCCAGATCATTATCAAAAGGAGGAATTCTCACTGATGTATTTATTTTATCAAATTCCGTGGTTGGGTCAGACGTAGAGAAGTCTGACACACAGAATGTCTGCGTGAGCTTACAGCTAGCAAACGAATTTTGGCTGTCCGTGCTCCTGTTGCTAAGGTGGCGGCTTGACCCACGTTTTTGGTATAGACTCTTGGCAGCATGATAAATTCTGTAATAGAGGATCAGGATTAGTGTCAAGGGGATATAAAATGCCCCAAAAGTGGAGTAAATAGTGTAGATCACATGATCATGTTGAATACGACACTCGCTGGGAATACTGATGCTGTGATGATTTCTCCAAAACAAAGGTGGCATTGAAATGAAAATGGATATAGCCCATACAGTGACTATCATAAGCCCAGCCCTTTTTGCTGTTCTTTTCCTGGCATATTCAATAGCATCTGTGATCGCCCAGTATCTATCCAGAGCAATGACGCAAAGATGAAGAATTGAACATGTGCAACAGGTCATGTCAACGCTAAGCCATATCTCACAGATAAAGTATCCCAGAGTCCATGTATCCATCACTATGTATGTAATACTCAAGGGCATGACTAAAATAGCAACCAGCAGGTCTGTCACAGCTAGTGAACATATTAAGTAATTTGCAGGCTGGTGTAGTTTCTTGGTTGTGCCAATTGCTGCAATTACACCAGAGTTCAGCAGCATAGTCAAGGTTGTGATTATGGCCAAGGTTACGGTAATAAGCATCTTTTCAGTGACTGTTTTGGGTTTGACAGCCACGTTGGCTTCCGTTGTGCAGTTTGTGAAATTCATTTCCCCACCCCACTCCAGGATACACAAAGAAAAAGGCTGTCACTTCTAGATGATGTAAAATCCCTCCATTGCTCCCATGTAAAATCCCTCCATTTGAGAAAAGTGTGCAGATGCTTCAGATGTTAACTTCCTTGTGTGCCATTTTCACTAAATCAGTTCATATCATCCAATTTTCCTAAAGCTCAAAGCATCCAGATTTCCTAGAAGATAAAAATTATATTAGTTAATCAGGGTAGGAAAATCAAACTATTTTCTTTTCTCAAATCCTTGTCTTCTAATGTTATTGCCACAAACAAGAATGTTGGTAATTTACTTCTTTTTTTACCCTCTTCTCCCCACTTTTTCTTCCCTCCCTCCCCACTATTCACTTTTCCTGCTACTGTTTAGTCCCAAAGAACACATTTGGGCTGGGGTAAACTAGTATAATCCCATTGACTTCATTAGATCTGTGCCAATTTATATCCTCTGAGGATCCAGTTCTTTTATTTCTTTGCAAATCAAATGCCAAAACATTATGGGTGTGTCTAGACTGGCAAGATTTTGCGCAAAAGCAGTCGCTTTTGCACAGATACTTGCCAGCTGTCTACACTGGCCGCTTGAATTTGTGCAAGAACACTGACGTTCTAATGTAAGAATTCAGTGCTTTTTGTGCAAATACTTTGACGCTCCTCCTCAGGGATAAGCCCTCTTGCGCAAGAATACTTGCGCAAGAGGGCCAGTGTAGACAGGCACCTTAATTTTTTGCGCAAGAAAGCCCGATGGCTAAAATGGCCATCGGAGCTTTCTTGCGCAAAAGCGTGTCTATACTAGGCACGGATGCTTTTGAGGAAAAGCACTTTTTGCAATCTAGATGCTCTTTTGCGGAAATACTTTTAATGGAAAAACTTTTCTGTTAAAAGTATTTCCGCAAAATCATGCCAGTCTAGACGCAGCCTATGAGTAGAGAAAATCTATCCTATTATTTTAATTGCTGTCTTAATAAACATTACTCCTGCATATCTGTTTAAAACAAAAGCCCATTTCAGCTAATGTTAACTAGCTTTCATAGATTTCAGTGCATTTTTCATGTTCAAATGTCTGTCTTTAATATTGTGGAAACAACACATTTAAAAATACCCAGATTATTTTATAATAAGCAGCCTTCAAACAAATGTTTAAAGTTTCATAACAAATATTCAGCTTCACACAGTACATTAATGTTGCTAAGAGGCTATGCAGTTTTGTGTAATTATTGCTGACATTTGGCATATCCTACTGTGCATACCTTTGGAGGAGAGACACAAAAAAGCATATGCCTTTGCTTGGAGGTTCACATCAAATTGTTTATACTGTCACACAGGCCAGTGAGATGACAAGCATGAAGAAATCTCCAAAGACATTATTTTGAAACAAATTTTGTATTTTCTTATTTTGAAAAAGTTCAGATGAAAATTCCAGATTGTGAACCTACCCCGTATTTCTTGTACATCCAGACTGATTGGTGTCAGTGAGAATTTTGGGCACTCATGATCAGTGTTCCCTCTAAGATTTTCCATTCATGAGCGGGGTGAGTTTTGTCTTGTGCACTAATACTGAGGTCATGCGCACTTGCTCGAATGTGTGCCACCATGGCACCCAAATTATAAACATGAGATAATTAACAAAGTGTATGGATTTATGTGTTTATTTAATATGAAGTCAAATAAAAAGAAAATTAATACTGCAAAGTTTTCAGGATGTTAGATTAGCCACAAGGCTGCTTTAAATCTGCACTTTCCACAGTTGCATAGAAGTCACAGGAGGCCAAGAATAAGCACACTGCAGCATTGCTCATATTGTGGCAGTAATGGCCAGAGCCCTAGGCCCTTTCAAATCACTGAGTCAAAGAGAAACTGCCCTCTCCCCCATTCCCCATTGATGGGCCTGGTAGGGCACTGGCTCCTGGAATCGGCAGCAACACGGACATGCCACTAAAATTCAGGCAGTGTAGCTGCTGTTCATCAGCTCTTTTGCTGACAAAATACTGTACTACCACCTCCAAGGATCAGCATTGTCATCAGGAGAGCGCTCCTGCTCAGCGGCGGATATAGAACAGGGCAAGCGGGGCGGCTGCCCTGGGCCCTGCGCTTCAATAGGCCCCGCGCCAGTGCCAGTGTGAATATGCAATGGGCGTCGGTGTGCATCGGCGCGCATGCGCGAAATTGTGCTGCTCTGGGCCCTGTAAAACTCTCATCCGCCCCTGCTCCTGCCCATCACACACTGATCACAGTGGTACTTGCCACTGCAAAACCTTTGCCTTCGGAGGTGAGGGGTAACACCTCTGAAGGATTTAAGCTTTGTGGTCCAGTAGCCAGCGCAAACATAGCCAAGCCTGCTGACAGACAGCTGAGCTGCAGCAGCCTGAAAATTGCAGCTTTTCAGAACTACTACAGTATCCTAGCCAGATAAATCACCAGCTGAGGAGAACTATTATCAGCGTGCATCTACAGTTAATTAATTGGGTCTTCCAAAGGAACATGCAGACTCAAAATTACACTATTGTGATACAGGATTTCTTTTACTTGCTATATCTATAGAGGAAAGTGGAATATGTCTTCTGGACTGTATTGGGAAGAGTAACCAGAAATGGGTACAATTAATGACACATATAATTTATGGCAAGCAAGTAATAATTTCAGATTAATTAATGTTTTGAGAAAGAATACAAAGGAAGAGTTGCACAGCAATCCTCCTACGTGTGCTGTTATTGTTTCCAGTAGAAGCACAACCAGCAGCTTCTTATTTCTGGTTCAAAATCAGACAACCTTTCCACTCACCCCAACACTCTTTTTAAAGCTAAGAGCAATACAGATACGTATATTTTAGATAGGCTGTGGCTTTGCTTTGTGCAATACTGAAGAGGCTGCGTCTACACTGGCATGATTTTGTACAAATACTTTTAACGGAAGAGTTTTTCCATTAAAAGTATTTGCGTAAGAGAGCGTCTATACTGGCATGTGTCTTTGCGCAAAAGCATCCATGCCAGTGTAAATACTCTCTTGTTCAAGAAAGCTCCGATAGCCATTTTAGCCATCGGGCTTTCTTGTGCGAGAAATTGATATTACCTGTCTACACTGGCCTCTTGCGCAAGAACACTTGTACAAGAGGACTTATCCCTGAGTGGGAGTGTCAGAGTATTTGCACAAGAAGCACTGATTTTGTACATTACAATGTCAGTGTTCTTGCGCAAATACTCATGGCCAGTGTAGACAGGAGGCAAGATTTTGCACAAAAGCAAGTGCTTTTGCGCAAAATCTTGCCAATGTAGACACAGCCAAGAATGTTTAGATTTTCCATATTCCACTGCTTATGATTACTACAGCAAATCTCTTTTTCCTTCCATTTTTAAAGATTCTTTTATGTCAGTACAAGTATGGGAGAACGAAATCTAATATCAGGTACATTGCGCATACCACCAATAGCTGTAAAACCGCTACATTTTAGTCTGCAAGGGCAGTTCAAAACAGAGTGATCCCATTTCTAATGCATCAGAATATAAATGTACAGAGTATGCTCCAAAGCTAGTGCTGAAGTAAAACAGCTCCCAAAATGTTATTGTGTTCATCTGTTCTTTTTTTAAAGGAAGTGTAAACATTTATTTGCATACCTGTTTTATTACTATTGCTAATTTTCAGCTGTGTGAGAGCAGAATCTGTCCCACTCAAGACAGAAGAAATGCTGATTTTGCTCTCACTATATCTCATTCTGCCTTTTCTCCTCCACACCCCGTGTTTGAACCACACAGTCCTGGTTGGCTGCTGCCTCAGCCTCTGGACAGCAACCCTCCCACAACCACAAACATCGGCAGCAGCACTCTGCCCACATGGCCCAAACCCCAGTGGCAGTAACCTGCCCGCCATGTCGCCCCAATCTCCAATGGCAGTAAACCTGCCCACCACATGGCCTCAAACCCCAGTGGCAGTAGTGTGCCCACCCGCGGCCCCAACACCTGGTGGCAGTAACCCACCTGCCAAGTGGCCTAAACCCTGGCATCAGCAACCAGCCAACCCGCCCATGACCTGAATCCTAGTGGCAGCAACCTGCCCACCTACCTGCAACCCAAACCTGGGCAGCAGCTGCCTGCCAGCCCGCGGCCCAAACCCCAGCAGCAGTAACTCGCCATGTGGCCACAAACCCTGGCAGCAGCACCCCGCCTGCCCATGACCCAAATCCTGGCACCAACCACCCACCTGCCATGCAGTCTCAGCCCTGGCAGCCCCCAGAACAGCCAGCCCCCAACACAGCTCCAGCTGCCAGAGCAATGGCCTTGGGCCCATTCCCACCCCTGCCCACCATGCAGCTCTAGCAGCGGGAGCAGCCTAGCCACTCACCTGCAAAATCTAGCAGGAAGGTGAGTGCTGCCGCTCAGCTCTGAAGTAGATGGGCGAATGGAGAATTTTTTATGTGCAGTTGTGCAGGTGCACACTTTAGAGGGAACACTGCTCATGATGTGCAGGACTGAGCTCTAGATTCCCATGAAGTCTTTAAAAAGTAACTTTGCTGCTCCAGTTACTACACTTGACCTTAGCCAGCACAAGGACAAGGGGGGATACAGTGGATACAATGTTCATAGATTTCCACAAAGCCTTTGACAAGATCCATCACCAAAGGTTCTTAAGCAATCTAAGCTGTAAAGGGATAAGAGGGAAGGTCCTCTCATGGACTGATAACTGGTTAAAAGATAGGAAACAAAGGGTAGGAATAAATGGTCTGTTTTCAACATGGACTGGTGTTCTTCAGGGGTCTGTACTGGAACCAGTCCTATTCCGAATATTCATACATGATCCAGAAAAAGGGCTAAACAGTGAAGTGGCAAAAATTGCAGATGATACAAACTACTGAAGATGGTTAAGTCCCAAATAGACTGTGAAGAGCAACAAAAGAATGTCACAAAACCAGGTGACTGGGCAGCAAAATGGCAGATGCAATCCAGTGTTGATAAATGTAAAGTAATACACATTAGAAAACAATCCCAACTATACATATACAATGATAGGGTCTAAATTAGGCGTTACCTCTAAAGAAAGAGATTTTGGAGACACTATGAATAGTTCTCTGAAAACATCTACTCAATGTGCATCAGCAATCAAAAGAGTGAACAGAATATTGGAAAACATCATATTGCTTCTATATAAATCCATGCTACACCCACATCTTGAAAACTGCACATATGTGGTCACCC